TCACCAAAGCGGCCGGGGCACCCCGAAGAGCACCCCGCATGGGTTTTGGGTCTGACAAATGCACGCATCACGGTAGGTCAGCGCTCGTTTGCATGTATTAGCTCTAGAATTGCCACAGTTATCCAAGTAACGTTAGAGCGATCAAAGGAACCATAACTGATTTAATGAGCCATTCGCAGTTTCACTGTACCGGCCGTGTGTACTTAGACTTGCATGGCTTAATCTTTGAGACAAGCATATGCTACTGGCAGGATCAACCAGGTAGGTAGACAAACTACACTATATATATATATATGTATATATATATCTATATATATATATATGCACTATTATTAAAAATATGTTTGCTTAGTTTATTATGTAACAATCTACTTATGATATAATAACTTGTGCACAAAAGTGTTATTACATTATGCGCTCATGGTTTTCTTACATTATGAATATTTATTACATTTAAATGATCACGCTGTGGCTTCAAACGAGCTAATTACACCTGTAAAGGTCCGTTTGTTTCATATTTTCTCATGTTTTTTTACTTTTAGCTGCTGTAAACAGACATTTCTCACTGCATGTTGCTGCTTTTTCTTCACGAAACCACTTTATTAGTCACTGATGTTCGTCTCTCTGAGCTCTGACCTGCAGCATAAAGTGTTAAAAAGTGTCTCCACCGGGAGCAGACTCACCTCCACCGTGCCCGTGTGCTGGTACATCATGTCGGTGGAGTCCTGGCTGCTGACGCTCAGGCGGGGGATACTCTGCATGTACATCGGGGACACCATCTGCTGCATCATCGGCTGCTGCATGACATAGAACTGCTGCTGCTGCTGCTGCTGCACCGGGATGTACGAGTACTGCTGCTGCTGCTGCTGCATCGGGACCAGGTACCGCACCGTCTCGTAGGAGCTGTTCAGCGCGAGAGGTTGCACCGAGGACACCGAGGACACCGACGCGATCGGGGACACCGGGCGGGTCACCATGGGCTCCTGGGAGGCCACGTTCAGGGTCCGGTAGGTCGTCATCGTGTTGGTCACGGGCTCCTGGGAGGCCACGTTCAGGGTCCGGTAGGTCGTCCTCGTGTTGGTCACGGGCTCCTGGGAGGCCACGTTAAGGGTCCGGTAGGTCGTCCTCGTGTTGGACACGGGCTCCTCGGAGGCCACGTTCATGGTCCGGTAGGTCGTCCTCGTCGTCCGGTTGGTTTGGACAGACATCTTTATGGATCACGCAGAGACACTCTAAAATTAAAAATTAAAAAGTTTCTCAAACAGAACCACGCAGGATCCTCAGGTTGTTGTCTTTTCAGCCCCGTGTAACTTCCTCCTCTGCTGGGCGCACTGGAGAGGAAAGTCCGGTTGGAGGAGTTCTTCCATGGAGGAGGAAGACCCGACCGGAGAGGGAGGCGCAAACACTGCAGAGGAGGTGGGAGGATCACAGCTGACAGGAAGTCACCTGGGTGTCACACAGGTGGATCAGACATTTTACAATGCACCAGCATAAATAATAATAATAACTTTATTTATTCATACAGCACCTTTAAAAGTTTACAAAGTGCTTTAAATGACTTTACCTTTTGTTTAGCATATTATAATGTACATTTTAATATTTTTTCTATTTTTAAATGATGTCTCATACTATTGCACTGTGTTTATTGTTATGCACTAATCACCTGGTCACATGGTCCTTGGATGTGTAACGTATTTAGCAATAAACAGTTCTGATTCTGACAAACAATAAAACCACAGAAAGCTCAACAGTGAGAGTTAAACTCTGATGAATGTATATTTTGGGGCCAATGATCGGTAAAATCTTAAAAGATCAATTCTAAAAACGATCCTGGAGCCAACGGAGAGGAGCCAGGTGAGATGTCGTCTGTTAGAGAGGGTCTCTGTCCTTCAATACGATGTTTGCGTGATATTTACACTCCCAGGAGACAAAATGGAAGATTAACTCCACATTAGAAACATGAAGACAATACAGCAGGTGAGTGTGAGGCAAACACTAGGTGGAGACAAACAACCACAAGAGGTGCAGTGAGTGTTGCTCACCTACTGTCGCTGCTATCAGCTTATAACTCCTGTATTTATATATTTTCAATAGTAAATCAATATTTAGAGATGTTAAACCATTATTATATCCAACGTCATATTTTTAAATATTTTTTAGTAAACAGTATGTTTTCATCCCAGTGGTGGAGATGTGCTGCCATACATAACAGTTTGCGTGTGTCCATGTGTGTGTTTGTGTGCCTGTCATCTTATCCTCAACTCTCGCGATAAGCAACGAGAACAGGCAAACGAGAAATCTACCATTCCATCAATCGAGGAAGCAGCTTTATTTCATCGGGCACAATAATAATGGCTGCCACCCAACAAATCCGTTTTCTTCCCCGTGAACCAGTCGACATTGGAGGCTCACCGATGTCTCGGTCGTCGGCCTGAAGCCGCCGTTACCTTCCGGTGAGATGAAATAACGCAGACTAACAACCGTTAGTCGCCCGGTTGACGGTTGATTGTGTTGCCCTGCAGCCAGCGCCAACCGGTTCCGCTATCTCGTGCCCTCGACGCTCCGAGCTGCCACCAAACTACACCCGAGATATGAGGGTTTTAACGATAAAACAACTCCCGGTCAACGATTAAAAATGTTAAACATTGATTTTATACATTTCTGCGAATGTGTACCCGCCATTCTTCAATTCGGCATGAGTAAAACGACACCAAGCAGTCTCTGTTGTAGTAAAAATGAGCTTTTTAAAACCAGCTTTTCTTCTGTTTCCTCACATCAGCGTGTGAGATTTGCTTGAAAATAAATGTTTTTAGGTGATTCAGATATTAGCTGAATTTACTATGATATCATGTGAATATAGAAGGAATAATCCGTAATATACCTGCAACCCTCATTGTACAACAATACCCTTAAAATGAGGAATATCTGAATGGAGTTTGGCGAGGCTGTGGCCTCATCGTGGATAATAGTGGCAGAATGAGTTTCATTTATCTGCGTTTATAATATTATAACGATGTGATGTAATAGGACATTGTTATTAGATGACACGTTCTTGTCCACAGAAGACATGGAGCTTCTACTAGTGCTCAGACCTGCAGAACCCTCAACTATATTAACAGTTAAATCATCTTTTAAGTAATATTCTCCTGTTAAATGTCATTAAATGATCTTTTCAGGCCCTCAAATACGGAGATCACCTGTTTCTCTCTGCTTTTCTGTCACATTAAAGTGAATATCTTTAACATTTTAAGACGTCCTCTTTGGCTTTGGGAAACTCTTATTGACATGTCTCACTATTTTCTGACATTTTTAGACAAACGATTAATTGTGAAAATAGCCGTCAGATTAATAAATAATGAAAATAATTGTTGGATGCAGCCTTCATTGGATGCATCATTTAATTGACAATAAGTCAGCTAATTGTAATAATACGTTCTGTTGTGTAATGCAGGACTTGATGAACCCCACAAGAGGAAATGTAAGCTTTTATTTTGAAGGGGTGATGCAGGCCTCTTGTTGCTGCAGTAGGAGTGATGTCATCATCTTCTGGGATGCTGTCATCATCAGCTCCATTTGTCAGACATGTCCACTATATTGTTACCTTTATTAATATTTATTAGCAGTATCCGTGTTGCAAAAAATATCCAAAAACATTTGGACACTAAATTTGTTTAGTACCTTGTTTTTATTATATGTAGATTAAATACAATAATTGTTAGTGAGAAGTTAAGTTTAAAAGACAGAAGAGAGTCGCGCTCTGAATTAAACTGTTGACCTTCGACCTCTGCTGTCTCCGTAGTTGCTTCCCTCTTGGCGTGGCTGCTTACCCACAATGCACTGCCAGAGGGCCTTGTGTGTGTCTGACAGACCGATGTAACTGTTGTCTCCACGTCACCAGTCGGTCCGCATCACAAAAGCACAGCCGGAAGGTATTTATATTTATTTATATATATATATATATGATGACACAGAATAAAGTTCTGTCTTTATGTAAATGTGATGACACAGATCTCTCTTTATTTCCAGGTCCTGGTCGATCTTGTTTGTGGTCTCACTGACATCATGTCTAGCACAGGTGATCTACCAGGTGAGTGCCCAAACAAAGATCCATCAACGAGCAAAGTATTAATCAATTCATCTAAATAATGGATGAATTAGTAATTATAATTATTTAATAAAAACGATGTAAAACCAATGATTGAATTAAAAAAACTACGGCTGTCACATTTCTCCAAATTTGAAGCCTGATTAAAAATATTGGTCTTAAATTTGCTTTTAAAGATACAGAGAGAGAGTTCATTGTTCTTAAATCAGAAGGCTCTTTTATGGGACACGTGAGGAACATTTAAAACAAAAGGAGGACGTTAAAATGAAAAGATCTCTGACGTAGAGAGTCAGCCAAGTGTGTGACGTTAGTTTAAATCTGTTTGCTGCTTCTGCTCGTATTAAAAGCTGTTGTTGTTGTTGTTGTTTGCAGCCATAGAGGATTCTGGGATGGGCGGGATGAGGCTCCCCATCGGGATGACCCGACGGGCCCTCAGCTACGACGACAACCTGGAGGCCCCCATGTCCACGCCCCCCCACGACATCAGCATCAACAACCTGTGGAGACGACCCGTCATACCGGAGAGGAAGTTCACTCGTCTGGCTGAGGTGAGAACTAACAAACACAGCTGCTGCCGAGGAAGACGCTGAGCGCAGATGATGAGGAAGACGCTGAGCGCAGATGATGAGGAAGACGCTGAGCGTAGATGATGAGGAAGACGCTGAGCGTAGATGATGAGGAAGACGCTCAGCGTAGATGACGACGAGGAAGACGCTGAGCGTAGATGACGACGAGGAAGACGCTGAGCGTAGATGATGACGAGGAAGACGCTGAGGGTAGATGATGACGAGGAAGACGCTGAGCGTAGATGATGACGAGGAAG